AAACGCGTGACAACGTAGAGCGGTCTCTCTCAGCTTCTAGCGATGAGGGCTTGGGAGTTGGGTGTCGTGAAAATTTCACGTTGTGGTCTGCACGTGTTACGACGGCACGAGACGCGGCCGCAGCACGCCCCAAGTCGCGTGGAGTGCGAGGTCCCGCCCAATGCTGCTTGCAGCTTTAATTTATATTAAAATTTTATTTAAATTCATCACAAAATGTATTACATATTGGGTACAGGCTGTTTATTACAAAATGAGGCAGATTGTTACAAAATTAGGGTGTTATTACACAATGAAGTAAAAATTTGTTTGTTTTTTGTTTGTCTGTTTACGAAAGGTTAAAGGTACATTTATCAGTCTGTCATTTAAGTGACAGACTAACTGTTGACAAGCAAGCCTTAGGGACTTTTTATCATGTGGCATTGCTTCACATCTTTTTGATATCAATTCCTTTATACATTACAATGTACTTGTTTGCCATGAATTGAAAAAAACTCACCAGGTCAGCTACTTTTGCAAGGTCGATCATTGTATTAATGTCATTGTTACACTCCATGAAAGTGAGGCGGCGCTTCTTGCCTAAAGAATACAAAAAGGAGTAACTTATAAACACTGTGAAAAAATTTAACATTATGTTGGCACACAGATGAATAAAAAAAAATATCAATTATTACGTAATATGTTATTAGTTTTAACCACTTTGATTCCCCCAATTCACTATTTTTGCAGCGGCTTTATTATGACATTATTTTGTAGAGGAGCTGGCAGTGTCTGGAAATTTAGTTATCCATTGTTCAGACTTCTGTTTTTCATATATATATATATATATATATATGCCAGACAGCATATTTCTAAATAGACTTATTTACATATTGAACCATAAAATTTCAGAAAACAAAAACTAAGTGTCTAGTTTATCAACTAGGAAACTTTCATGCTGATATCTTTTAACTAGTATTGTAGTTAATTTTCAATTCAATTTTATTTGTATAGTGCCAATTCATAAGAGAAATGATCTCAGGACAATTTTCAAATAGAGTAGGTCTAGACCAAACTCCTTATAACATTATTTACAGAGACCCAACAGTACCACCATGAGCAAGCACACTTAATGTTTACCCTGTTCACCTGTAGTGTCTTAGCTAATGGAAGCAAATGTCATTTTATTCAAAGAATGTCAATGTGTTTCTGTGGTAAAGCTGGACAACTTACAAAAAAGTAACAGCAGCACTTGGTGGAAGTGGACCCTAATCTACTCCAACATCAGAACTTAGGGGACACACCTACCAGAGACGATGGTTACAGGTCCACATATGTCTCCCAGCTTCTGTCGGGTGAAGTTTTTGATCAGGCAGCGGATCAGGGTAGTTTTTCCCACTTTGGGGGGCCCGACGACAACAATCACAACTGGAGGGGGTTCCAAGGGAGTCCGGTCTACAAGGGGGATGTGATGTTTTTTGGTCTTTATGTCCTGGGCTCTGAAGAAACATATATATGAGGAGTATTTTTACAGTTTGTTTAATTACTCACATTTTTATTTGTTTCGTATACAGGAATTTACTTATTTATTCCTACTTTAAATTAATTAATTAATGTAATTATGTCAAAGTGTTCCTAACTGGATGTGAGCATAAATGCCAAAAGAATGTATATTATTTTGTGGATGTTACAGCACAAGATTGAAGTCTCAGTGTGTGTGACAGATGTGTGGCAGTACAGTTAATCAGAGAGTCATCAGGGCTGACCTGTGGAAGGTCTTGGCCATGCGTACAGCGGACTGAACCGCAAATGCTTTGGGATTGCGTTTCCGCTCATCCTCATCTGTGGTGCCTCCCTGCTTCTTGAGCTTCTTCCTCTCCGCCTTGGGTCCACTGTGCTTCTGCTGATGTCGCTTCTGTTCCTTCACTTTCCCGTCCATCCTGTCCACTAAAGCACAAACAGTTTCATATGAGTTAAAGTCAAGTGAAGTGAAGTCAAATATACTGGGCTGGAAAGAAGAGACACCAATGACAATATGTTTACTTTGATGGAATTCAATAAGTAGTTTTCAAGTCACTACAATTAGATTTTTATGCTGTAGACATGTGAACGGAGACCAGTGTCTTCCTGGAAAGCAGGACAAAAAACATGAATCAACCTATAATGTAGGGGTGGGTGACATGGATAAAATTGTCTATTTCAAAGCAGTTTCACTGTAGGCTAGGTTTTGTCAGCTCAAAGCACTTATCGTGCAGAATGACAAAATCAAGGCCACTTCATATTTTAGCTGAGGGACACACAAACATGGTATTTAAAACTAAAATCTGTAACTTTGCACTTTTTTGACATCTGCAATGGAGAGAGGTCATGGAAATGATGGTGGCGTTTGGGAAAACACTTTAGTTGAAGGTGGATTTCCAAAACCTGACAAATAAAATACCTTTTGTTTAAGAAAGAACTCAATGATTATATTGAATCCATAAAATATTACATCATAGGGTTAAAAAAAAAATCATATCGCAGTTATTTTTGACAGATATTGCTTTTGCAGTATGATTCACGATTAGTGGGAATTACCATTTTTGCATCACAAGTTCATAATTCAAGGTCTGTGCCAAACAAACATGTTCTCTTAAAACTGTAGAAGATGATTTGCAGCCGGCGGATCTATTCAGCACTACAGTATTTTGAATCCCAAGAAAAAACCCTTACCTCAGGCAGAACAGAGCACAACAATGTGTTTTACAATCACCAAGGTCTCCCATAATTAAAATGGATTTAAAAAGTGCAAAATAAAGCCAGGCCGAATGGGAGATGATACACCTAAACTATTGTACGAAAAAGCAGAATGTGAATATCTTGTTGAACTGAGGAAATGCAGTACTACAAACACATAAGTACAATAGGGGGAAATATCAAATATGAGGGCTTGTGATGAATGGATACATTTAATTTAATGTAGCTTTGGCTGAGATAGTCCCACAAACACCAACCAACAATATCTCATATTAACTATAGCAGGTATGGTCAGTGGTCTAACATTACATTAAAATTATGGGTCTTGATTTGTTGATGTTGTATTTTGTGGGTCTTTTTGTGTATTATATGTGATATAGGTAATTAAGTTTTCAGTAGAGATTAAAAGTAAAAAAAGGTCTAAAATCAATGGTTGCTTTCGACGTTATTATTATTCAATGTTAAAGACAGGCTTTCGAATTTCTGCAAAATACAAGTTGTTCTGTGTCCTCTTTAGCGGTAAGTGTGTTACACTCAGCTGAACCAAAAAGGAAAATGTATCGGAACTGTGTATTTTAGCTAGTTCGTTAATATTTATGGACACATTCACTTGTCTTTATTTCAGTGTGTATGTTAACGTGACGACTGGGGGACCATAAGGAATACAAGAAACTACGTTCTGTGAGTAACATCCTCTGTGTCTGTCTGTAGGAGCAGAAGCTAGCTAACACTAGCAGCAGTAAGTTACGTAGCTGCGGAACTGCTACACACACATCTGTTAAATGTTCACAATAAAACATTAAATTATTAGTCGCAATACCTGAAGTTAAAGCTGTTGTAGTCTGGTACCAATCAGAGCCACTTTTCTTCAGATCTCACATGTGTATCATGACCTCCGACCCGGAAGTGTACGGAAGTGTCACTTCGTAGTAAAACGCGTAGAAACAAACTAAAATACAAGGTTCCGCACAGGTCTTCGTGCTTCTTCTTCTTCTTCTTCTTCTTCTTCTTCTTCTTCTTCTTTTTCTTCTTCTTCCTTCTTCTTCCTTCTTCTACTGGAGTGTGGTAAAAACATGATGTATATTGTGAGATTTAATATTGCTCAAATCATGATTATATTGGAATTATATTCTGTTTCATTGAAGTTATAATTAAAGCATTTGTATTTGTATTTGTTTGTCCCATATGCCCAAAAGAATTCACCTTCTACAATCCATCCGTATGTTTGACACTCTCTTTAATTGCATGTTTCAAACTTATCAGAATCTATCTTTGTCATAGTTTAGCGTTTAACCCTGAATGACCTAGTCTTAACCTTGTTAGAATTATATTTTCTTTTCTGCTTTTACTTTTCCTACTTCTTACTCTAACAGATTTTTGAATTGTATAATAGTCCCTACCCTTGATGTCAATTCCATATATTTTGACAAATTTTCACTATTCTCTGCTAAATTATTGATTTTACCTCTGACCTTCCAAAAAATATTTCTAAAATACCACTATAATTTGTGTTTAATGAACTTTCAGCTAGTTTATCAGCAACCTTTTTTCTCTCTATTCCAACATTTGCTGGTATCCAACAAAAATGAACATCAATACATAGCTGTTTTAGGTTCAATAAAATCATGTATATTTTCATTATTAGATCATTTCTAACTGTTTGTATTGACTGTCTACTGTATACTATACAGTACAGCTGCTGAATCTGAACATATTACTACTTAGATTGGTTTGACTTCGTCTACCCACTGAAGACTGATGATTATTGCTATAATTTCTGCTGTGTATACTGATAACCTATTAGTAATTCTTTTAGCAATGCTTTTATTGAATTCTGGAATGTATATTCCCACACCTACATGATCATCATTTTCATGTTTTGACTCATCTGTAAATATATTTAAATAGTCATAATAATTTTTGGACAAATATTCTTGAGTCAATCTCTCACAATATCAAAGTTCCTGGTTGACCAATCTCTTCTCTTTTCTAATATTTGTAGATTAACTTTTGGTGAAATGAAGAGACAGACAGACAGAGAGAGACAGACAGACAGAGGTGCACAGCAGCAACAGTAGCAACAACTACACTAATAGTAGTGACTGATGATGATGAACACGAAGATGATGACGACATATATATTGAATTCTGACTAGTTTCTCTAGATGAGTTTTTGCTGCTGCCTCATATACCATACAACCATAATTCATTTTTGCTCTTATCAAAGCCCTGTATATCTGTAATAATGCTTCTTTGTCAAGTGTCACAGAAATAATAATAATGCATTACAGTAATTAATAACTAATTGTACAATAAAAAATAGGTGTTAATACATTTGTTTACAATTCTATGACTTTGATAGTTTGGAAGTCAGCCCTGGTCCAGTCTGGAAGTTCTAGAGTGTGATAAAGAAACTTGAAGTAGGAGACATCTTGTGTCCAGCAGGAAAACTTTAGAAACTAACAACATTTGCATATTCATAAATTCTAGAATTTCTAATGAGGTAGAAGGACTAGATGTCTTGTTAAGCGTTTTAATACTTACAACCGTACAAAAAGCCCAGCAGAGGGTCATGTTTTTTTTATTAAGACTTTCAAAGTGAAAAAAGGCGAAGGGTTTGGCCAATGGAGTTGAAACAGAGAAAATATCATCCACATAACTAAAGAATGCAATTTCTTAAGAAATTGCGGGTGTAAATGCTGACCGCTGAACGTTAATGCTAGACTGAACTGCCGGCTTTTAAATTCTTCGAATGATGTGGAATATTTGAAGATCTTTTAAACAGATTATGCTATGTCGAATTGCTGGCTCTAAAAGTTAAAAAATATTAATAATCTATAAAGATTTGAAGGTGTGTTGAAGAGCTGTCAATATACTGAATCACTGGCTTTAATTTGTTGGAAGTAACTGAAGGGGTATTGTGGTTGGAAAACTTTGAAAGACTCTAATTACTATGAATGGGACAAAAACTGTAAGCATATATCATCTGGTTTAATACTGTTTCCAACTGAATGATTAGCTATAAGCTGAATACGTGTAGAAATGAGTTTGAATAAATAGTAATAAAGTAGTTAGACAAATGAGAAAGGATAAAATGTCAAAGAGATAAATCACAAGAGGAATATATATGAAAAAGAGAAGGGAAATTAAATAAGATTGTTTTATAAAATGGAAAGAAATTGATAAAGAAGTTCTGTAAGGAAATGTTATAAACCACCTTGAGCAAATTTTTGATGTTTAACAGTCAGCTGGTTGGCAGGCCTTCACAGGAACTTGTAGGTCAGAGCAGAGGTGATACATCTGACAAACCCTGCTGTTGCCTCAAAGCGTCACTGACACAAATCCACTGTTTCTTTCACTTCTCAATTCTTCTTTATACTCAAGCCAGGGGCGGAACAACATGAGGTAAACATTCAGGACTTAGCTCAAACCTAGTCTGCGGGCATGATTTTTCCCTTTTACAGCAGCTATATATGTACTATTTTTCAAGCCTTTTGTGATAATTGCTTAAAATCTATACATCATTTGGAAAAACACAATAGTTGCTTAGGGGAAAATGTAAATGAAAAAAAGTGGTCCAAAAGAATCAAGTATGATCAAATACCACCAACCCAAAGCATTTTTCTATCTTTCTTGGCTCTCATTGGTTGTTTTCATTCAGGTCTGGTGGATTCTTGCAAATGCTGATTTTCTTGATCTCTTTCTTTATCTTTTAGTCTCATGTAATAATGTCAAGATATAGTTAAAGTTTCAGTAAATATGACAAAAAGTAATTTTTTGTAAAAGTTACCTAATGCAGCTTTACGCCTTTACATTTTAGCTTCACTTCACATTTTTAAACTCAAATAATCGGAGAATGTAGAGCACACCAGCAGCATCTTAGCATCAGGGCTGTGATTAACATCAAGTCCAGCTGCTGAGTAAACTCAGTGTCCTACTGTTGGACCCACATTCATTTTAAGTGTAATTAAGTGTATAAACATTTATTTCAGTGACCGGTTTTTTAGATTAGTTGAGCGGATCAATTATCAGAGCTGCAGTAAAGAATTTGTACCACTTGATGGTGCCAGCTGACAAATTACATTCCTTAGCACGATATGAACAGCATTCAGCACCATAGCCTAAAGAGAGATAATGAGATTAGATAAGAAATGTAATAATGCAAACATGACAAAGGACATAGCAAGGAATAAAACAGTCATTCTAGTGCCAGTGAAAATGGGGAAAATACTTTCTGTCCAGTGTTTGATGTAAACAAGGCCTGACCTGAACATAAGTCCCTCATCTCAAATCTTACCATCATAATTACAATCACTGTCGTCGTCAGCATCATGCTTGTTGTCTTTATTGTCATCCTTGTTATCATTAGCATCATGTTATGAAGAGTCCAATGAACTGAAGCCGTCCTGGTTTCCAAAGCCTTTGAACTTCCTCTCTTTAACGTTGAGTGCTTGTTGTCCTTCGGATTATCCATTTTCACTGTTCTACTAATAATATTAGTACTGTTATGATCATCTGGTTTGCTACATCTGGCATTTAACCCCCACCCTACCCAAATGATCATGAGAAAGTGCCAGAGCCAAACTATTGACAGTGCTCATTAGCATTTAATTCTTCTTTCATTTGAATGGAACTGTCACAATCAGCAACATTTTCTTTTTTTAAATTTCTTTCTCAGCCATGGGTTTTACTAATATTGAAGGTGAAAGGAGTTGAAGTGAAGATCTAAAATGAGTTAGTGTTGGTTCAAATGCAAAAACTGACAGAAGTCAGTTGAAGTGTCATCTAGAGCAGAGGTTAAAGCAGTGGTTCCCAATTTTAAATATTTTAATTTTTAAACATACTATTCAATGACTGAATGAAACCTTCTGACTCCACCACCCCGACCACCGGACCAAGCACGAACCTGGGGCGAAGACCGTTCTCATGCTGCCCCCTCCCCTGGGAATCTCTCCGCCAAAGCTCCGTGCATTTGTACTGACCCTCCAACATTTCAAATCACTGACAAAACAACCTTTCAAAAATAGCTTTTAAAATCTGAGTCTAATGTGTTTTAACATAGTACTGTTTTATATTGTTTTTTACCTTGATGTTCTTGTATTCTTCTTTTATTATATTGTACAGTGTCTTTGAGTATTCAGAAAAGCGCTCTTTTAAATAAAATGTATTATTATTATTACTTCTTCAATGACAAATTCAGTGTTTTCTTCTCATTGTTCTATTAGCTCTTTGGTTGTTTTAAGTGCATACTTTTTTAGCGCAAGATAAGGGCTCTGGCAGAGAGTGCAGGCTCTGTGAATATAGCTTGTGTTAAGGTCTTCAACGTTTAGATCATAAACAATAATCTAAACTTAGCTATTTAATTTAGTTTGAAATGACATAGAGACATAGACTTCCTGTGTATATTTTTTCATTTTTCTTACACCCTTTAAAATCAAGAAGGCCTTGCGAGCCCCCTTGAAGTTTTGGTGACCCCTTGTAGCAGTCCCCATCTGTTGGGAACCACAGCTATAAAATGTTAGCAGCGCAAGGTGTTGGCAGTTATGAAGACAGTTGACGTGTCAGGTAAATAGTTGTTGAAGATGTGTAGGTGCTATACTATTTAAACTGAGGAAGTTAGCGTTTCAAGCATCACTAAGGATGTATGCATTTTTAAATTTTAGTGCATCAATACCTACCTAAATTACGTTTATATACAACTAATTTGCAACACCAAATACTTGAAACATAATGCAATGTAATGGAAAGGAGCAAAAATGTTGATACTGAATGTATCAGTAAAATGTTTACTGACAACATATTTCAATTGTTTTCCACCAAAATAGGCAATCTTACAATATTAAATCCACTAAAGCGATGTTCAAAAATAAGCAGTGACTTGAGACATACGATTTTTAATAACTTTTAACCAAAATCCTGATCTTTCCTTACCTTGACCAAAGTTCT